CCCTGTTCCCCCCCCCCAAGCACCACGAATACAGAGCATCACTTGCCCCAGAGCCCCTATCTATACCTTGTGTCTAATAGCCACTGATGGACCTGTTAATTTTATTTATTTATTTATTTATTTATTATTTAGATTTTTATCCCGCCCTCCCCGTAGGCTCAGGGCGGCTTACAAGGCATATTGCCGATATAATACAACAATAAAACATTAAAAATATTAAATAATATCAAATATTAAAACATCATACATACAAACAGTATCTGGTGCTCACATACCTAAGAACAAGATGGCGATCTCCTGAAGTCTCATCCTCTTTTCAAGTGCCCACATCGTGGTGACCCTGTCCACAAGGCTTGGGGCATAGATGGTACCATGGTGATGGCGGCTCCTATTCGAACGCCTGGCGGAAGAGCTCCGTCTTGCAGGCTCTGCGGAACCGTGCTAGGTCCCGCAGAGCCCTGATCTCCTCTGGGAGCTCGTTCCACCAGATAGGAGCCGCCACCGAAAATGCCCTGTTCCTGGTCGTCGCCAGTTTGATAACCCGGGGACCTGGCACATCCAGCAGGTTCTGAGTCCCGGACCGTAGTGCTCTTGGGGGCATATGTGGGGAAAGGCGGTCCCTCAGGTAGGCTGGTAATTGTTGTGTATACTTAGCGTGTTTTGGCTACAGATCGTTTTGTGATCCCACTGGTAGTTTTTCTGTAGCTCCCCTCCCTCTTGCTTGGATTTTCACACAAGCCCGTGTCACCATCCATGTGGCCCATGATTCCCTCCATTTGGACTGGGGGGGGGGGCATCTGCTCAGGTGATGCAGGTGTGCCTTGTAGGAATGAGGGGTGTGTTAAATGACGTCCTGTGTGAAATGTCTGCGTATCGGTATAGGTTTTTTTGGCAGAAGCCGAGCCCCTTCCCGAAACACTGTCACACTCAGATTCCTTTGTCTTGTGTTTCGACTAGACCGGGAGGATGCCTTCTTCGTTAATTAACATTTTATGGAAAGATAAATATGAAACACAGAGGCTTAAGAATGTAGCAATAACTGGTATAACAATTACAAAGCTGAGTCATAGCGATTGTCAGTGGAGCAGACGTATACTTGATAATATAGAGGGGAAGAGGAGAAATAAGAGAGAGGGAGTGGAAAACAAATAGATCAAGAGAGAAGAGAAAGAGATTCTAAGCTACATAATCCTGATGTTATCACGACAAATGTACTTGATAGCTATTGTCAGTGGAGAGCCAGTTTGGTGTAGTGGTTAAGTGTGCGGACTCTAATCTGGGGGAACCGGGTTTGATTCCCCACTCCTCCACTTGCACCTGGCTGGATGACCTTGGGCAAGCCGTAGTTCTGGCAGAGCTGTCCTTGAAAAAGAGCAATTTCTGTCAAGAGGTCTCACAGCCCCACCTGCCTCACAGGCAGTGTTCCCTCTAAGCTGAGTTGGTGTGAGCTAGCTCACAGTTTTTTAGCCTCTGGCTCACACATTTTTGTCTCAGCTCAGAAAGGAGGGCTCCAAAGCAAACTAATTTATGCAGTAGCCAAATCGCTGGCTCACAACTTTAATGCCAGGGGCTCACAAAGTAGAATTTTTGCTCACAAGACTCCACAGATTAGAGGGAACATTGCTCACCGGGTGTCTCTTGTAGGGAGGGGAAGGGAAAGGAGTTTGTGAGCCACTCTGAGACTCCCTTGGGTAGTGAAGAGCAGGGTATAAATCCGATCTCCTCTTCTTCTTCTTGATTCATACCAGGTCTTTCATCTTGTGTCGTTAAGTAGTCTAATACTGGGAGCCAAGTAGCAGAAAAGTTAGTAAGAGCTGAAGCAGAGGCTAGCAGAGAGGTGTCAGGTGTTTCTTTAGCCATGATGTAAAAGTCCCAGAGTTTCTCATGCCAGAGAGACAGGTTTGGGGGATGTTTGGGAGGGTGCCCTCTTTATCCCTCGCCACTCCTCTCCCTCTCCCTCCAGCTCTGGAGCAGCAGTGCGACGAGCACCGGAAGAGAGCGAAGGAGCTGAAGCACAAATCGCAGCATCTCAACAACGTCCTGATGACCCTGACGCCGGTCTCCATCCCGTCCCCTCAGAAGCGCCCCAGGCTGACCAGAGCCACGTCGGGGCCCCCCGCCATCACCTCTCAAGTACTGACCCAGTCGGCCCAGATCGCCCTGGCTCCGGGAATGCCGGTCACTCAGCTGGCCAACCTGCCCCTCGGCAAAGTGGTCTCGGCCCTCCCGGCACCCACGCTCGGGAAGGCCGCGACGCAGCTCACCTCCACAAACTCTCCAATCTCCCCGCTGCTGGGCGGCTACACCGTCCTGGCGTCCGCGGGCTCCGCGTTCCCCAACACGGTCGAGATCCACCCAGACGCCTCCAACCTCACGGTGCTGAGCACGGCGGCCATCCAGGACGGCAGCACCGTGCTGAAAGTGGTCAGCCCTTTCCAGCTGCTCACCCTCCCGGGACTGGGCACGGCCATCCAGAACGTGACGCAGATGGCTCCCGGCGGGAGCACGATTGTGACGGTGCCGTCCGGCGTCGTCGAGGGCGCCGCGGCCACCGAAGAACACACCGCCATCGAGGTGACCACGGTTGCGGGAGAGCTGGAGCAGAAGTGAAACGTGGACGTGGGTCCGGTTTCTGGGGAGGGGGGGTGCTCCGCGCTTGCTCCGCACAGCCGTGCCTCCGCGCCGAGGAGGAGAGGGGGGGCCCCTGGGGACAGAGCGAGAGAGACACACTGGCTGACGGGAAAACAGAGGCTGGAATCGCAGGAGAGAGAGAGGGAGAGAGAGCTGGGGGAACGCAGTGGAAGCCCTGGAGGGGAACAACAAATCCTCGTTCCGCAGGAACCATTAGCACCAAGAGACGGCGTCATTTCCGTCCTCTTTTTAGTAGCACCGTCCATCCCCAGCCATCTCAGCTGGAACACGAGAGTTTGTAGGATGAGCGGAGAGCAAGCGAGAGAAGTTTCAGAGGAAAAAAATATATAGTAAAAGGGAGGGTGAAGCGGCAAGGCTGCTAGCCAGTGTAACTCCGGAAACGGCAGCGCAGGCAGCCAGAGGTGTATGGCCTGGGTTCAGGTGTGACGCAGGGTGCTGCGCGCACATTCCCACGTCATGGGGGCGAGCGGCTGGTTCCCCGCGTTGTCTCAGAATAGAGGAGAAGAGAAGTGCTCTGGAAGGAGGCCGTGTACAGAACGGGTGTGGGAGCTCGAGAAGGGATCATTCGGCTTGCGAAACGCATAAGAAGCAAAGCAGGCAGGAAGTTCCCCGACGGATTTTAGATTGCCTGTGTCTGAATGCCAATCGGTTGATATAATGCCAATCGTGACGTCTCTTCATTGTGATAAATCCGCAGCTTTATGCTTCAAGACCCCCAAGCGTTCAGGAGGATGAGTTGCATGCAGGGCTGCTTTGGTAGAGAAAAGCTCGTACACACTGAGGCTTTACGGGCCTCTTTCTTCATTAACGTTAAATGTCCAGCGCTCAAGCTCCTTGCACAGTGGTCTGTGGTCTACCTCCCCACACACTCTGGGGGTCTACCTCTCCACATACATTGACCTACCATAGCTGGTGAACTTTATCTGCTGCTATGCGTTCGAAAAGGAGAAATTCGGTGGGGTTTTGTGTTGAAATGTTGGCGTGCAGCTCTTGGGCAGTCCGTGGGACTACTCAGCTGGCTTTTGAGGTATTGGATACCTATGATATTAAAAGACGAAAACAAAGGGATGCTTGAAAGAGAATGACACCTTGTGGTGTCTCAGGCTGCAAGCTGATGGATGCTTGCAGTAGGTGTTTATCTGTCAAAAGCAGTGAAAGCTGTTCTCTTCAGTTAACTTATAAAAACGTTTTTGAAAAGCATGTCCCTGATTTCTCGGTTGTCTTACACCGGAATCGAGCCCCATCCGTTTCGCCAAAGTCGAAATGGCTTTGTGACCAAAATATTGTTTTAAAAAAAAAACCACAGTTAATGCTGAAGTTGTCCGCTGTGTATTCTGTGCTCAAACCAAAGGGGAATATAGAAAATTGTCATCGTACTGTGAGGTCTGTAAAACCTCTCTTCAGAAGCAAGGAATACACAAAACATGTGCAGTACTACCTCGAGCAGATTCGAGAGCAACAAGATCTCCGGGTACGAACTTTGGAGAGGCAAAACTTCCTCCGTCAGGTACAAGCTGGAATAGAGATCCCCGAGGGTGTTGCGGAGAATGGAGTCAGAACACAATCAGCTTGGTTAGAGCAGAGGAGAAATGCTTGGGAGCAGGAAATTGGCATCTCTAGGGAGATAGGAGCTGCGGTGGCTCAAGTGGTTAAGACGCTGAACTGCAGGCTGTGGAAGGTCGGTAGTTCAGCAGTTCGAGACCCGGGTGTGCTGCATGACGGAGTGAGCTCCCATCTCTAGTTCTTGCTCCTGCCAACCTTAGCCGTTCGAAAGCAAAAAATGGCAAGTAGATAAATAGGTACCACTTCAGTGGGAAGGTAACAGCATTCCGTGCGCCTTGGTGTTTAGTCATGCCGGCCACATGACCACGGAAGCGTCTTCAGACAGTGCTGGCTCTTTGGCTTTGAAATGGAGATGAGCACCGCAACCCTAGATTCGGACTCGACTGGCTTTCGAGCAAGGGAACCTTTACCTTTAGGGAGATAAGAATCCTATATCCCTTTTCAGCCCTGGGGGGAGGGTGTCCCTTGTTCTAGATGTGTCAATGCATTCAAGAAGCCGCATTCTCACCTTGTAATCTCCCCTAGAAGCTTCTTTGCTTGAGGTCTGCCAGACCAACACAGTTACCCTCTGAAATTATGCTAAGCAGTGGTACAGTTTTCTAAGACCATTGACTTCAGTCGGCTTAGAAAGGTATAACTGTTTTGGATTTCACTGTTGCTTTTATAAGAACATCAGAAGAGCCCTGCTGGATCAGGCCAGTGGCCCATCTAGTCCAGCCTCCTGTCTCACACAGTGGCCAGCCAGTTCCTCTGGAGGGCCAACAACAGGGCATGGAGGCCGAGGCCTTCGTAAGAACACCAGAAGAGCCCTGCTGGATCAGACCAGTGGTCCATCTAGTCCAGCATCCCGTCTCACACAGTGGCCAACCAGTTCCTCTGGAGGGCCAACAACCGGGCATAGAGGCTGAGGCCTTCGTAAGAACATCAGAAGAGGCCTGCTGGATCAGACCAGTGGTCCATCTAGTCCAGCAATCGGTCTCACACAGCATCCAACCAGTTCCTTTGGATGGTCAACAATCCCATTTTAAAGCTGTTTTATTCTTCAGCCATCACTATATCCTCTAGCAGTGAATTCCACATTTTAATAGCTGTGTAAAGTAGTATTTCCTTTTTGTCTGTCCTGAATCTACTGCCCATCAGCTTCAGTGGATGCCCTTGAGTTCTAGTATTCTGGGAGAGGGAGGAAAAATTTCTGTTTTGTCAATTCTCTCCACCCCATGCATAATTTTATAAAACTCTATCATGTCCCCCCTTAGTTGTCTCTTACCTATACTAAACATAAACATAAGAGAAGCCAATGTTGGATCAGGCCGATGGCCCATCCAGTCCAACACTCTGTGTCACACACTGGCCAAAAAGACCAGATGCCCTCAGGAGGTCCAGCAGTGGGGCCAGGACACTAGAAGCCCTCCCACTGTTGCCCCCCTCCCCAGCACCAAGACAGAGCATCACTTGCCCCAGACTGAGAGTTCCTATCTATACCTTGTGGCTAATAGCCACTGATGGACCTCAGCTGCATATAAGAACCTAAGAGAAGCCAGTGTTGGATCAGGCCAAAGGCCCATCCAGTCCAACATTCTGTCACACAGTGGCCAAAAATACTAGGTGCCCTCAGGAGGTCCAGCAGTGGGGCGGGGACACTAGAAGCCCTCCCACTGTTGCTCCCCCAAAGCACCAAGAATACAGTGCATCACCTGCCCCAGACCAAGAGTTCCTATCTATACCTTGTGGCTAAGAGCCACTGATGGACGTCTGCTCCATATGTTTATGTAATCCCCTCTTATAAGAAAATAAGAGAAGCCAATGTTGGATCAGGCCAATGGCCCATCCAGTCCAATACTCTGTGTCACACAGTGGCCAAAAATACCAGGGGCCATCCGGAGATCCATCAGTGGGGCCAGGACACTAGAAGCCCTCCCACTGTTGCCCCCCCCCCCAAGCACCAAGACTACAGAGCATCACTTGCCCCAGACCAAGAGTTCCTGTCTATACCTTGTGGCTAATAGCCACTGATGGACCTCTGCTCCATATGTTTATCTAATTCCCTCTTGAAGTCGTCCATGCTTGTAGCTGTCACCACCTCCTATGGCAATGAATTCCATGTGTTAAGCACTCTTTGGGTGAAGAATGATAAATCCCAGACTGGGAATAAGGAATAATGGAAATGCTGACATTCAGAGACAAGTTTTTGTTTTAAGAAATTGGGTTATGGCTGTGTTCCTGGGGTTCATATGCATGTCACTGTAGTACTGAGTACAGCCTAGAGACAGGATATTGGATTAATCACAGAGCCAAAAAACGTCGTAGAAAGCTCTTTTGGTCAGTCTAAGAAAATACTGTTCAGACCTCTCTGTGGTGTGACTTTGTAGAAGCAGAGCCCTCAGCATCACATAGAACTAATTTAGAAATCAGACCCTTAATTGTAGATCAAAAAACCACACACTGAGTCCAGGGGCAGACAGAGGATTTTTCTGCAAGTCTAGGAGAAGTCCCAGGTGTGCAGAAAAATAGGAGATCCCTGTCCACAGAGACACACACAGGTAAGCTGCTGTGGGGTCCCTATTGGGCAGGGCGTAAAGGAAGCAAAAGTCAATAATTGAAGAAACAGAAGCTGCCCAGGTCAGCCTATGAAAAAGCATTTAATTGCTTATCAGGCTGACTTCTAATTCAGCTTGCTGATTCCATGGAACATCTCATTCTCCAAACGCATTCCATCAGCCGAATTGCCGTCTCCCCGTAACACAGACTCCAATTCATAGGAGCAGTGTGTTTTAAGCAATATAGTCCCTCTAGTCCAGCATCCTGTCTCACTCAGTGGCCAACCAGTTCCTATGGAGGGTCAACAACAGGGCATAGCGGCCGAGGCCTACGTAAGAACATCGG